ATTAGTGTTATACGTTAACGGTAATGTAACTAAATAAATAGACTATAAGGTACACGAGTGAGCAGAATCTTAGTTTATGAATTTTTCAATCCTAGATAAATTATGTTAGAATACGATTGTCAATTGATCTTAATAATCGAAATGCATTTATTAAAAAAAAAAATCTTTTAATAAAAAAAAATTGTGGAATTGATTTCGAGTAATTTCTTACATTAATTGTTATAATTTTTACCATTATATTGGTTTTGTAATTCCCTATCTAATGATCTCTATCTGTAACGTGGGGAGGGTGGGTTGTCCCACAGACAACAAATATTGTTGACATTATTTACACATTGTCTAGGCATTTTTAATTTAGTCACAGTACAGTAATAAATATAAATCAAATATGTAGAACACAAATACTAGGCCAGGAAATAGAGTAGATTTATATGTGAAAAATTAGAATAAAGCTTCAAATTGGTATTGTAACATTTATTTATTTAAAACAGTTTATTATTTAATTTATTTACCACTGCGGTTTTTGCTGATATGTGTTATTTTGCTATAAGTTTTGCTTCAGTGATACAGAAATTATGTTTTACCTATACAGGGTGTTTTTTAAAATCCCCTCTTTTAAATTAACCGTAACCAAATTTTATCAAATGGGCTACTTTTCATTGGGACACTCGTATATTGACAATTTATCTTTAAAATTCAAAGATCTATCTTAAAATGACAAAGAATCTATTTATATAATATACAAAGGTGAAGAATTTCGAACATTCCACCATTTTAGCGAATATGGCACCTTCGCCAAAAAATGCAATTCCATCGAACACTCAAGAACGTATCCACAAATTCTAGAAATGTTTTGTAACGCAAGCGGCTGAAAGGCAATAACGTAAACATCAGGATCGGACTGGTTGAAAATGACTCGCGCGACAGTATGTTCGATGTCTTGATGATCCCCTTTCACAACTATGTATAATTTACCATGTACTTATAGAGCCTCATCTTAACTATGGTATTATAGCCTGCGGAGGCGTGACAAATAACTATCTAAACAAATTAGAAATTACCCAAAAATGGTTAATAAAAATAATATACGGAAAACATTTTAGATACCCTTCTGACCAGTTATTTAATGATTGTAAGTTTTTTGATATTAGGCAACTTTTTTGTTTATCAGTTCTTACAAGGCAACACATTTATAAAAACGACTTGAATAGTCTAGAACATCACTATGATACAAGGAATAAAGAAAATATTTCAATAATACCCAAAGTCTCTAAAACGGGAACTCAAAGAAGCTATTTCTATTTAGGACCTAGGTTATACAATATAATTTCACCACCCTTTAAACAATTAAATTCTATAAAGATGTTTAAAAAAAAAAGTTAAAAATTGGATATTCTCAAAAAATAGGAATGAGATACATAGTTGGATAGACCTAAAAAATCTATAGTACGATAAATCCGAGAACTGAAATTAAATAAATAAATAATTAAATAATGAAAAGGTCTAAACTGAATAACTAAATACATACACAAATAATAAATAAAGCTTACCTTAATAGAGTTATCATCTGGATAACTTCTTTTAGTTGTTACTTTGTTTCTTCTTTTTAACCTCAAAATTTGTAAAACTTGTAAATGTGTACATAGCAATGTAAGGAAAGATTGTTTAAGTTAATTTTTGAAAATATAAAAACTATTTTTAAATAATAAATTTGGCATTGTGGGTTGCAGATATTTTAACAAGCTGTGCTTTTAAATATCTGTCACTTCAATTGTACAAATAGCGTTGCCACGAGTTAAGAGTTAATTTTAAATGTAGGTATACCTATTGTTTTACTGTGCACAAGTGTTTAACACTTAGCATATTTTTTCTTTATTCATAACAAATATTATATTGTATTTAATTTAATTGCATTATTTATGAATAAACATTATTATTATTATTAATATTATTATTATTATTATTATTATTATTATTATTATTATTATTTGCACTGTTAGGTTTTTTTAATTCGATATTTTGAGAAGCTGCGGAAACGGCTAGACTGAAATTTTTATTCAGTCTTCATCTAGAGGATATTTGCACAAAAGTCTGCGATAGTACTACCCTAGCATTTATAGTTTGCCCTCTAGAGCAGGCCTGCACAACATACGGCCCGCCATTTTCGTTTTCTTGGCCCTTTCTTCGTTGACCAGTTTTGCCTACGTCAAACTATACATTTTTCAGTAACAAAATTACATTTAGGTATTAATGCCTTTTTTATGAGCTCGATAGAAGGACCTGGTCATTATAAGCTGATTACTTTTTTTTCACTAGCTCGAAAGCAAGAGTTGGTTTATAAATTATAAGCTGACGACCTTTTTTTTTAGAATCTGAACAGACCACCTCGACCTTCTTTATAAATGTATAAGCTCAGGACTCTCTTGGCCTTTACGGTTTTTGAACTCGTCCTTTGAAAATCTCAGTTTGCACGGCCTGCTCTAGAGCGTTCAGAAGAGAGGCATGTCTTGCCACGCTCAAATTGCGTTGTTTTCATTTCGCGAGTGCTATGGGCTTTTTCAAAAATCACATTATACCTGAATAAATAACAATAGTTTTTGGTCGAGTAAATAGCGTGACAATCAAGACAATGGCGAGCGCTCAAAAACGACTGATGTTTGTAAATTTAGTCAACTGTGTAAGAAGATGATCGGCTATAAGCGAAAGCCGGCAACGCCGCCATCCATGTAACGCCAAAAGACATTGCATAATATTCAGTGATGCAAACTTGGGGGGTTTTCCCCCTAAATTTAGGGGGAAGAATTAAAAATAGAGAATTTTTTAGGGGGTACATTTTTTTAGGGTATATTTTAGGGAGAATTTTTTTTTATTTTTTAGTCAAAATGACTACTCCACGAAAGCGATCCACGAAAAAAGAATATCGCCCTCTATGATTTGATCGCTAAACTTGATAGGTCATTTGTTGATTAATGATTATCCGAATTTCTTTGCATCTTTTTTTTTTTTTTTCCTTTATTGGTCTCAACTTATACAAGTTATTTAACCAGCACTAACATTGTTTAGTAAATAAACTTATTGTGTAACCGGTAGAACATTTATTTATGTCTTCTTTTTCTTTTTTGGTTGTATCTAACCGGACAATTTACCCAATGCCCTGACTTTCAAATAATTTGATTAAAATTCTATGCTACTATACTCAGGGGCGGCTCCAAGACGAATTTTCGGTGGGGAGGGGGGTCATTGCCTTTAGCCATTCCCTTTTTAGCATATTTTTTTGAATAAAAGGCCAATAAATTGGAAAAAATTTCATCTCGGGGGCCATGGCCCCCTTTGTTTAAACCCGCACCCACATTTTATTTGATACTAAGGGCCAGTTTTTCAATGAAAGTTTAAACTGAGTTTAGCAAATGAACTTAGTTTAATTGAAAGATGGTGTATTTCAAATGTAATTCACGTCTGAACTTAATTTAAACTATCCGAAAAATTGAACTGTCAAAGTTGGGCGTTTAAACTAAGATAATGTTTTGACACTGACATAATAAATAGTATATTACATTAGGAGTGTGGAAAGTGACATTTTTCACATGTGGAAAATCACTTTTCATAAAAGTGATGTACAATATTTTTCCTACGACCACAAAATAATTTCATCAAAAAATGTAAAACCAGGTTATTATAATAATTAAAATGTATTTAAAAAAATAATCAACAATAATCGTATTTCTTCAATTTTCATATTTTCTAAACAAAAAAAAAACTAAAAAAAAAAAAAAATTCTGCCCTCGCCAGGATTTGAATGCGGTCGCTCGCCAAGTCTCAAATAGCAAAGTTGATAAAGTTTGTTACTCTAACCATCTGAGCTAATAGGCCTTGTGTCAACATGTGAGCTAATAGGCCTTGTGTCAATTGAACGATCTAATCGGTTATGTGTTTAACCAGAATAAAAAGCATAACTTAGTTATTTTAAAATTATTTTAATAATAAATATCTAGGATCTAATTTACAAAAATTTCAATAATTTAACAATCATATCGATTTTAGTATTAATAAGGACATTATATAGATCAAAATAGAAATGACGCGTTTGACTTTTTGTGGCAGCTGATGCGAAGTAGCATATTCGTACACGGGTGGAAAGTAAATTCTTATTCATACGCGTGTGATATAGGGCACTTTCCATAGGACTATATAGTATGATATGTGTCACTTTCCTAAGTGGTCGTAGGAAAAGTATATTTCATAATTTTTGTACATTTTATGTTCAAAGTAATAAGTGAAGACGATAGTAAAATTGCTACCTACTTAATGCATATTAATGTACCATAATATACCCAAAAGAATATACAAGATTTCGTTTGTCTAAGAAAACGGCTAACAGAATAATTAAAAAATTATTATTTTTAAAGGGGTGTTAAAATGCATCTTTAATTTTTGACATAAAGTAAAATTACGTTTTATCATGTAATGTTTTTATTGAAGAAATACTGGAAAATTAAGAAAGGTTTGAAGTACAGTTTTATTGTAAAGTTAATACCTACATTTAATATTTCAGGACAGCATTTAAATTACATCAAAGGTAAAATTAGAGACTTAAGCGACCCGTTCCAATTGCCAAATTTATATTTTAAAGGCATTTTTAGATGTAACCAGAATTGTAATTAAATTGTTTTCATTATGTTAGCCTCCCTTCTTTTTATTTTCTTAAATGGACTACTCCCATGCGTAACTTAGGTCAAAATTAGTTCAAATGAATCGTAATCAATGCGACGTTGTCAAGCCTTCCCCTGATATTTTAAAGGACTTTCCGTTAAAATTAATAATTTTAACAGCCCTCCAAAAATTGTGGATATAGAATACCGTTTTCGATTAAAAAAATTAACGGGCGGCTAAAAGTTAAGGCCTTTAAATTTTAAAGGATATTTTACAGAATAGACCTCAATATATTCTTATTCTAATGTGATCGATGATTAAAAATAATACAAAGTTATCACAGTACTCACCGGAAACCTGTGCCCAACTTGTGCTTCCTGCTGTCTTTGAAATGTTTCCTGAAAACAAAACAATACGTTAAAAATGTATGACAAATTATTATCAAATAATTTCATTTTAAATTCAACAGATCGAGAACTATCTTGTAATAAAAATCAGATAGGACCTGATTTAGAATATCGGTACAAGTTAATCACTGTAATGGTAATAAACATATTATTTGTTCAGACATTAACTTGAAGAAAAATTAATTAATTGTGAGAGTGTTAAAACATAAAGGCACACCTCTCACATCTGTTTTACGATTTTACGATCTGCATATTCCATACGGCGGATTTATATCATAAGTTAGCGGTTAATAAATCATTTGAAGAAAACAAATTTATTATGAGTTACCTCGTAAAATGAACCCATAAAATTACTAGACATCGAAATATTTATTGGAGAAAGTACCCACAAATTTAATTTAGCGTAATAGCCTAACTACCGTCCATCGATAATACATATATGTGTGTATAATTATGTTGCGAGATAGTCAATAAATTATGCATATATGTATATGTAGATGTCTATGACTAAATAAGATGAAATGCAAGCCGATTTTGTAGAGTTAAAGCTGGATAATTTGCTGTGATTTTTAATATTCAATGTAATATTTAGGTACATAATCACAAACTAAATTGTAACATCCAATTAAAGTCTGATTCTGGGTAAGTACCCTACGACTAGGGTTGCCAACCAAGATAACTTAAAACAGCATGCAATAAAAATCAGTCGAAATATGTAAACTAAGTTGTGTATCTTTTTTTTATAGAATAGTGTTAGATCTATAATAGTGTAATACTCGTAAATCAAACTCTTTCCTTCATTTACGGTAGTATAAATGCCAATTTTGTATTAATATGAATATTGTAGTATGTTAATTTTTCCCCATATAAACATCAGATTAATTAATATGCATTAAGTAATATAAATGAAGTTTTAATAAATGTAAGTAATGCAATTAAATGGCATTTTATCTGATGATTTATTTAGTATATCTTAATTGCTCTGGGACCCGAGTCAAATATAAATATTGCTCAAAAGCAATTACTTGGAAACTGAATCGTTTATGTATTAAATTACGCAACATTTAATATTTCCGTTCTGTCAAAGTCTGTCCAAAAAACGAATGTTTCATGGGATTACCTAATTAAAATTGTTGTGTTTAGTGATTAGAAACTTTAAACGAATGTTAATGTATTTGATGACTATTTTAGCAGATATTTTATATCATAATTTATTATTCACCGCATGCCAAAAAATTAGAAAAAATGATTATTAATGACCATTAATATTTCTACATAGTCCATTGGGGAAATTATTTACGGAAATACGATTGTTTCTTTATATAAAAGAACTCAACGGTTTTTAGTACGTGTTGATCATACTTTGTGAATAGATAATTTTCTCAACTAATCTATTTAAAAAAATAAAGGGAGTAGCTACCCCTCTAAGGGGTAAAATTATAAGGTCAGAATTTTTTTTAAAAAAATTGAGTTGTTTTTTTAGGTTTTTTCTTAAAAGTTAATAATAAAGTCTAATATGAATTAATGCGTTATTGTTGGACGCACTGTATATTGATTTATGTAACTGTTAGTTACGTGAGGTATTGTATATAATTTTTTTAAAATGGACCGTATTCGAGATATTTGAGAAAACTCAAAAAGAGAAAAAACCCAAATTTTAAACTTAAGTTTTATTCAGTCCTGAGGTAAACTGCTTAGATTTTGGATAGAGTCGGAACATCTAGAGGATAGTTTATAGGGGGTCGTTTTTATATTTTATGGAATATACATATGTGTTATTTCCATTTAGAGAAGAAAATCCTTCCAATAAAAGTTACTTCTAATATTATTCTCTATATTTTTTGCTATATACAAAATTTTCCTAGAATGGTCCGTATTCGAAAAACTTGACAAAAGGTGCAAAATTCTAATTTTATACTTTTACCATTTACTTCGCCGTCTACGTATACACTACCATAGTGACATTTCAAAGAGGCTATCAGTATGAGAGGGTGTTTGGAACGGGTTCGGGTCGAAGCTGTCCCCTCTGCCGACCCGCTCTAGTTTTCCTGCGGCGTGTTGTCTTCAGTTGTTTGGGACCCTAGGGCGTTTGCACGAACTGCGAACATGTCCCAGTACACCGTAATTCCAGCACCTGATAGATAGTCTTTGTCTTTATCCTTTTGTCAGCAAATGTCTTCGTTATGTTAACTAGTTGGGCGGGTTTATCTTCCACGTTTTCTTCTTTTACAGTCCTCACTTTACTGTATCATGCAGAAGCCCGCGTAGCTGCCTCATACTCTCCAGAGCAGCGAACAAGACACCGATTAATGTTTTGTGACGGGCTAAGTGGACTGTTTTCTGTATCTCGTGGTCACGGAGTCCATCAACAAATGTTTGTACTGCCAAACATTCCATCACGTTTTCCGGAGCTGATGGGTAAGCAAATCGCACCAACCTGGCAATATCTATATTTTTGAAGAGTCTCGTCTCGTTTATGTTTGCGATTCTTTAACTGTGACTGGTATAAATGTTCCAAGTGTTCGTACCCATATCGCATGTTTATTCTCTTTTTTAGGTGTTTAAAATAATCTGTCTCTTCAACTGGTATAGGCATCTCCTCAAAGGGCGATGGTGAAATTTACTGCCTTTTCTCGTTCAGACCATTCGTTTGCTCTGACAGCTATTTCGAACTGTTTAAGGTAGTTGGTCCATGACATCTTTCCTTCGAAAGTTGGGGCTTTAACACGAGTAGAGTTTACAGCTCCTTTCAATTTCAACTTCGACTCCACATCATGGCACTTTATTTCCCCGTCCTTGGCCTGGTCTCCGTGTTCCATTTTTTCTATCTTCTTTTCCATTTCTTTTATTTTCTTCTCTACAGAAGACATCTTGTTTTCCACATCATTTTTTAGTGAAGACATATCAGTAGAAATTTCATCTTTTAAAGAAGAGATTTTGTTTTCCAAATTGGAAGAAACTTTGGTTTTTAAGGAAGATATGTCAGAAGACACCTTTTCTTCTGAGGAAGAAATGTCAGATGATACTTTACTTTCTAAGGAAGTAATGTCTGAAGAAATATCGGTTTTCATGGAAGACATTTTACTTTCCAAAGGATAAATTACAGAAGACGCATTATCAGAAAATAGATACGTTTCCTGATACAAATCTTCACTTTCTAGTGCTTTTTTAAGCCTCTCTGCCAGCTCTGCTTTCTTCCCTGTCGTCTCCAGCTCACGATCTTCTAATTCTCGACGTAACTCTGTCACTTTTAAATCACACAGTTTTTTTAGCCCTTTTTGTCCCCTATTTATTAACAGTTCGACTTCTAACACCCATGTAACGTTTATTTAATTTATTTATAGTTTATTTAATCAAAACACTTTATTTATAACGTACTTATTAATTTATATAAGACTTAGGCACTATTATAACTCACAATTCTAATTTATTTATTACAATTTAACTGTTCTGTCCAAAACTTAAATTCAATCTGCCCGTCCAACGACAACTCGCGCTATTTATATAAAGCTAGCTCTGTACCAGTAGTTTCTAGACGATATCGAATGTCCAAGAATTCCATCTCTATGACTCAATCGCCATGTACCGTTTTTTCTGGTAGCTTCAAGAAGTGGTGCGTTTGTCTCTATATGGCCAGCGCTAGACTTCATACCACGGGAAAAGTACAGAGACGACTCCGCTTCACAATATAATATACATTACAGATCAATATATAGCGCATGACATTGAAATTGCAACACCCAGTAAATGTGAATATATTTTATTAAAATTTTGGGAAGTTACTGGAATCAATAGGAACAATAATCGATGAAATTATGAAACAAATTTATTGGAAGGTATTCATAAAAATCAGTAGTGAGTTGTGCCTTTAAGTAAGTTTTGACACTCTGACCTGCTGCGAATTAGATGATCAATATTTTCCTGAGGTATGTTCTCCCAGGCTAATCTAACCTCATAACGTAGTCGGGCTACATCCCTCGTAACGTAGTCGGTCTACATCCAATATAAGAGCTTGCAATCGACCCAGCCTTCTACCTATCAATATTAGCGATAAGTCAGGTGACCTTGCAAGCCATGGAAGTGTGGTTACATTGGCTTGTCGAATAAAGTCTCTGGTAATTGCAGTGGTATGTGGCCTGGCGTTGTTTTACTAAATTATGGGGTTTTGCAGTTGCTGAAGGTATGACAACGTAACAGGTTATAACACGTTATTAATATAGGACTGGTCGTTCATGTTTCTGTCTAAAAATACTAGTGGTGAACTGCTTCTAATTGATATGACACCCCATCCGATAACGCCTCTGATAAGCGCAGTCTCGCACTCCATGAAAAATTGAACTTGGGGTCTTTCTCCACGTCTTCACCTGACTCTTTTACGACCATCAAGAGCCCGCAAGCAGTAACGCGACTCGTCACTTAAAACGAAACGAACCTATCGCACTCCTCAATCCATTGAGCCTGTTCATTCCAGCCTCTCGTAGACCCCACTATCCTACCTCATTCAAATTCACTTAATTGACGATATACGGCACAAAATAGCAAATTTTATCGAAAAGTTTTATTATATATCAAGAGCCAAAATATAACCTAAAAATGTGGGTAACCGTTTAAAAATAAAACTTAAACTTAGGTGCTCGCCCTGCTGCTTCTTTCTAGCAAAGTACCCTGTATTTTTAAAAATACTATTTTTTTTTTCGAAAAGTTTTTATAATATTTCAAAAGCCTACAAATAACCTAAAAATGTAACATAAGTAGTCTTTTTTAGAAAAAGAAATTAATAAACCGAAGTGCTCTGCTGATTTTGTATACAACAAAGAACCCTATATTATTAAAAATAGCTATTTTTTTAGTAAAGTTTTATAATATTTCATGAGCCTAAAAAGGCGGTGTGGTTGTTTTTTTTGAAAAAAACTTTAAAAAACGGAGGTGCCCTGCTAGCATTGTTCGAAGCTAGCAAAGCAACCTATATTTTTTAAAGATACTATTTTTTT